GAGGAGGAAGGAGGGAGGAGACGGAACGATAATGAGGGGGGGAAGGATGAGGTGATCATGGCAACTCAGAGGAGGATGAGAGGGCAGAAGGCCAGAGGAGAAAAGGAGAAGGAGATTGGTGACCTGCAATTGAATTTGTTTGTGGGTCCTGATGTAAATTCAGTCGTGCTGACTCTTTCATGTTGTGATCAGAGTGATTGTCCGTTGTAAGCCAACGACCAAAGAACGATTGATCCAGTTGGAGAAGAACGAATTCATACTCCAAAGACCCAAGTCGAACCTCCGCAAGAACTATCCCTTCGAGCGGGTCGTCAGTGAGACAGAGAGCACGCCTGAGCTCTACAAGAACCACCTCCAGGACCTCGTGGATCATATCCTTCGAGGAAGAAGCAGCTCCGTCATCGCGTTTGGAGCAGGAGGAACAGGAAAGTCTTACACGACGAGGGGGGTGGATGGGTTGGTGCGGAGCTTCGGAAGGGACATCTTCAAAGGTCTGAGAGGAGATACCAACAGCATGCTCTCCTTGTCTGTCCTGATGTCAGCTATTACAGCTCCAGTCCAGTCGAACATGACGGGGAGGCAGATCACGCACGAAGTCCTGCTGGATGGCTTGCTTCCGGCTGGTGACGTGGGGGACTATCGAGGAGGTCTCCATGTGCGCGAGCACCCGAGCAAGGGATTCTTCGTGGAGGGCCTTAACGAGGTCGTGATCAACAGCGAGGAGGAGCTGGAGAAGTTTATAGACAGCGCTCTGCACAACTGCAACGCTGAGGATGAAAGGAGGACTGCTGGTGGCAATGGGGCGCCGCTGAAGGTGCACTGCCTGTTCTCCTTCAAGGTTCGGAGAAGGGATGGCAGCGGGATGGTGGACACAGCAGAGCTGCAGGTCGTGGATCTTGCGGGATACGCAAGGGAGAAGAAGGGAGGGGCGCAGATAGCGCGGGGAGGAGAGAAGAGTGGACCCTTGGGTGAAGATATCGTGTTGAAAGCCTTCCTTCGCATCATGAGCAGGTGCTGAGGGGGAGAGGAGGAGAGTGTCTAGAGCGAACGAGTCACGATGCTGTTGCAGCTTGGAGATGAACTCGTCGCACATCCCGCTGAGAGACTCCAAGATGACGAGGGTGCTGAGCAAGGCGCTCAGCGGCCGATGGCTGTGCGCGACGGTGACGCACGTGGCCATGGATAGCTACGAGGAGAGCGAGGCTGTGCTGCTGCTGACCATGAAGTTCTGCTCCATCACCTTCTCAACAAGGACCAAGGACGACAAGAGGCTAGAGGATGTGGCGGGGAAGAAGGAGCGGATCCAGCACTTGTGCAGCAAGGTGAGGGATGACCCTGTCTTGGCCTCTCTGCTGACTGGAAGGGCACAGCTGGAGATAAGCTGGAAGGGCTCAAGTCGTCATCCATCTGCATCGAGCACGTGGCATCGGAGGAGCTGCTGGAGCTGCGGGAGCTGCTGGCAGAGGTGGAGGCGATTGGGAAGAACCATGAGGAGTGGGAGGCAGTCTGCTCTTCATCCGACAGGTTCAAGGCCGGGGAGGGAACTATGGTTGCCCGGCTAGACCGCAAGGCGAAGGTGCAAGGGAGGGAGGGAGGAGAGGGGAGGAAGGCGGCGGGAAGGGAGCTGAGCGTGAGGGAGAATGTGAACGTGCAAGTGACGGAGGGGCACAACATGGCGGAGATCTCGACGAAACTCGCGCTGCTGAGGGAGAGGAAGGCACTGCATGCAAAGAAGTAGAGCTGGTCCCTTGTGGTGTAGCATAAAGTCTTGCTGAATGGGATGGAAGAAATAGTCAGGGCTGATACGGAAAGGGGACGAAGGGAGGAGACAAGAGATGGAGGGAAGAAGAGAGGAGGGAAGAGAGGAGAGGAGGGTAGTGGAGGAGGCTAATTGGCGCTGTCCATGAGGGAGAGAAGATCGTCTTCTTCGTTCTCCTCCTTGTCCTTCGCGTGACTCCCTTCAAATTCTTTGGCAACGTCGCTCAGCGCGACATTTCGAGCTGTCAAGAGATTTCAAACTCTCCCTCCTCCATCCTCCCCCTACCTGCAGTCGAACGGAAGACCACAGTCTCCACTTCCTTCCCTGGTCCTGCATCGACGTTTCTGTTGTCGTCGAAGATGTTGAGCTTGAACTCCTCCTCCTGGCTGCAAGCTTACGAGAGCGAGACAACGACAAGGGAGAGGAGGGGAGAAGCAGGAGAAGGAGACCTCTGAAGTCTTTGGCACGTGAATGAGCGAAGAAAGTAGTTGAAGCTCAGCTCCTGTGAGTTGTCAACAGGAGTAAGTTCTCTCTTGTAGGAGGAGGGGGACGAGAAAGGGAGAGGGGAAGAGAGAGGAGGAGGAGGAGGGGGACGAGAGTCAGGGAGGCAGAGGAAGAAGAAGAGGTGAAGGAAGAGGATGAAGATGATCGACCAGCCGTTGTCTGCTTGCGATTCTGAGCAAACAAGGATTAGCACCATGACAGTGGGAATGCCGTCAAAATACCTTGGAAGGAGTCAGCGAGGACGAGGGGGCCGTCTCTACCTGATCCTCCAACGATCCTGCATGCAACACATGAGCGATGGCGACGGAGGACAAGACGTCTACGTGATTTGCTCTTGGATGAGCTGCTGAGGTACAGGTTGAAGCCAAGATGCTAGAGAAGATGTCAGAAGAAGGACAGAGTGCTGTAGGAGCAGGAGCAGGAGCAGGTGGAGGAGGAGGGGAGGACGACGAAGGGAAAGAGGAGCAGAAGCAGGAGGAGGAGGAGGAGGAGGAGGAGGAGGAGGAGGAGGAGGAGCACAACAAGCATCAAGGAACAAGATGTTTCAAATACCGTCCTATACTCATCGCCGACCGACTGACATTGTTCAGTGAGACTGGCGAGACAATCATCCAACGTCTTCCAACAACAAAACCACTCACGGGAGTGGATACTCCAAGAATGTCTCCCCTTCTTCTTTGGAGAAAAATCTGATCTGTCCTGGCATCTGCAGCGGCAGAAACAGGGTGAGGGAGGAGGAGAGGAAGATAGGAGGAGGAGAGGAGGAGGTGAGGGAAAGGGGAGAAAGAGGGGAGGATTGAGAAAAGAAAGGAAGGGAGAAACAAGACAGGAAGAGGAGAGGAGGAGAGGAGGAGAGACAATTCGAGCGCACTTGGAAAAGTGGAGGGAGAACTCCTCCTGGCTGTATGACCATCGTGCCGTCTGCATTTTGAATTCCTGACTGAAGGTGAGAGGAAACAAAGCGAAGGGAGGGAGGAAAGGGGGAGAACAAGACAAAGGTAGGAGGGGAGGGGGAAAAGTAAGGGAAGGGAAGGGAAGGGCAGGGCAGGGAAGGGCAGGGCAGGGCAGGGCAGGGCAGGGCAGGGCAGGGCGAGGGCAGGGCAGGGCAGGGCAGGGAAGGGCAGGGCAGGGCAGGGAAGGGAAGGGCAGGGCAGGGAAGGGCAGGGCAGGGCAGGGCAGGGCAGGGAAGAGTCTTGAGTGGTACCTTCGATCAAGAAAGGAGAAACTTTGACCTTGCGGTCCTTCACATCGCATGAGAATCGCGTTGTCACATGTCAGTTGGCAACTGACCTGAACGTTTGTAAGGAGGGTCTGTCGGAGGAGAGCGAGAGAGCTCAGGCTGAGGCTAGCGATGGTGCTGCAGACGCATGCTCACAAGACAAGCATGTTAAGGTTGTTTGACCAACGTTTCTATCAGGACCACTGTTTGCTGGAGAAGTCTTTGTAGCGATTGGTCCTCTTTCACCATGTCTGCAGTCTCATATGAATAACATGGACGAGAGAGATATAAGGTCACTTCTTATATTGTCCAGGTGGTTGAGGGTGATCTGTGGAAAACAACCATAAAGAAATCACCGAGGCAGGAATGCAACTTGAAGACAGTACATCCACGAGTTGTGAAGGTGTTGAACAGGAGATGATTTGATACTTGAATCCTGTCGTCTGCGATGAAAGAGAACAAGCTGATTGGTTCTTCGATCTTAACCAGATGTAACACCTCACCATCAGATCGAACAGCTTGTCCATCGAAGATTCCGAAAGTTTCATGATGGAGGAATGGGCGATGCCTGCAACAGTTTCAACACATTACACGCGCTACAGCGACATCTGCAACGTTCGAAGATCTGCCTCGTCGACGTGTTGCTATACAACTCTTGCGGTTTGAAGCTAGAAAGTGAAATGAGAAAAGGAATTATTGGGATTTCAGCAATACAGCTCTGCAATGAACTTGGGGTTGAACATTGTTCCTGAGATGTTCGGTAACTTCACATGCCACACATGTTTTCTCATCACTCACGCAGAATATCTCCTATCACCTGCACAGCAAATCATCATGTTCATCAACATACGAAGCTGTTCCGGACCTTCTTCGCCTTTTCGTTTGCAATCTTCTGTGCGACCAACCGCTGCTCTAAGATGTACATCATCTCTCCTCCGAGATTCAGCACCAAGATCGGCATGCCGAAGCTGCAGTGCTTGTCATGCGTGCAGGTGCATGCTGGAACTCTACCGAGACATGGCGATGAACGAGAGTAGGAGGAACCTTTGAGGATTGCATCAGAGCGATCAGATCACGAGCACGATCACTTCCAACCCTCCCAACCCCCTCCCTCCTAACCCCTCCCTCCCCAAAATCCTCCTCCTCCTCCTCCTCCTCCTGTCCCTCCCTCCTCCTCATATCTTTCTCGTTGTCCCTCTCTTCGATCCTGACATCTGATTTTTCTCGGTTGTCAACGACTCAACGCATGTACCTGATGCCCTACTCTCCTTGCATCCCCCTCCACACTTTGGACTCTTGACATCACCACACCTTCTTCACCACTCTCCTCCTCCTCCTGCTCCTCCTCCTCCTCCTCCTCCTCGCTCCTCCTCGCTGCTGCTGCTCGCTCCTCCTCCTCCTCCTCCTCCTCCTCCTCCTCCTCCTCCTCCTCCTCCTCCTCATTCCAATCAGCATCGGGCGATCTCATTCCCGTCCAGTCACCCCCGAATCCTCCACCCCCACCCCAAATCCCACACACCCTGTCTAATTCCACCCCTACCCCTCAAAACGAGCATTTTGTTCAAACCCCTGGTACCGACTACCCCTGAACTCCCGGCCTCTTTGAAACATTCACCCCTACTTTCGAGTAATTTTACAGTCGAAAGAGTGGGTACATAACAGAAAGCGTCCCCCCACCCCTTGATACAATTTGGTACCCCACCCCTCACGATATACCATTCCAAACCATTCACAGACCTTCAGTTTTGAAGAAAGCCATGGCGGCGAGTGGTTGGTTGCAGGAGGGCAGGAGGAGGAGAGGAGAGGAGAGGAGAGGAGAGGAGAGGAGAGGCAAGAGAGGGGAGGGGGAGAGGACGGAGGATATGAAGAGAAGTCAAGCGAGGAGGTCAGAAGGTAAGAGAGGGGCAGGAGAGAAATAGGGGAGGAACGGGTGAAAGAAGATTGGAGGGGAGAAACGCGGTCAAACAGATCAAGCACATGTCAGAATGCGGATAGTCACTCTCTAGGAGACCTTGAGGGTAGAACAGAGCCTCGAGAGGGGAGAGGAGGAGAAGCTGAAAGAAGAAATTGAAGGCGAGGTACAGGTGTCAAATTGCTTTCAGAACCGAACAGATACGGTTCGGGAGAGGGCTGAACGATACAAGAGGAATGCCCAATGCAGATTCATGGAGATGAGAGCATTGAGCAACAGAATAGGCTTGAAGAATGTCTTGTTGGGGAAGGAACAATCAACCGACAAAGATACCTTATCCTGAGTCAATGTCGTGACGTGGTTGGTTTGTGAAGTAGCAGATCTTTTGAGAGTTTCGACTCAACTCAACTTTGTTGCATGCCCATTATTCACTTGATTAGCATACATTTGGAGTCATAGATATCATATCGCATGTATCCCTCCTTCCTTGACCTAGATCCTGGAAGGAACCCCACTTTGTCCCTTTGGGAAGGGAAGGAAACCATTCATAGTGACCTCTGCAATCCTTCAACAGGATTCGTCTGTTTGGAATTGATGGCGCTGAAAAGGATAAGCAAGGAACTCGAAGATCTCCGTAAAGATCCTCCGTCTGACTGCAGCGCTGGTCCTGTCGGCGATGACTTGTTCCACTGGCAGGTATGAAGTGAAAGAAGGGGGAGGGGAGAGGGGGAGGAAGTGAGAATAGAGCAGGCAACCATTATGGGACCGCGAGACAGTCCATACCAGGACGGATGCTTTTCCCTCCGCATTCAGTTTCCTCCCGACTATCCTTTCAGAGCTCCGAAGCTGCAGGTAGCGAGAGGGAAGGGTGATGCAAGGGTGTTGATGTCTTTTCTTCAGTTCACGACCAGAATTTATCACCCCAACATCAACGAATCAGGAGGTGATGGAGAGACTGAGAGGTCGTCTGATCTCATCGAGACATTGACATGTTGCGGCAAGGAATCTGTCTGGACATCTTGAAGGACCATTGGTGCGTGACGGTTGCGAGGTTTGACTTGGCCGTTGAGATTTGTCACCAGGTCTCCTGCGTTGACGATCAGCAAAGTTTTGCTCTCTGTGCTCAGTTTGCTGACTGATCCGAACCCCAACGATCCTCTGGTGAGCTTCCCTTGCTGCTGCTCCTCCGTTCCTCTCCCTTGCTCTGTCAACCTGATTGTGCCCTACTCTCTCTTTCTCTGTTTCCTTTGCTTCGCCCTTGTATCGTTTGTTGGACGTGGAAAGTTTGCTGTCCGACCATGTTTTGTTTGTTCTCTTCTTCTGCTTCATATTCTTGTTTGCTTGCTCGTCTCTTCTCTCTCCTACTTGTCGTTGTCTTCTCTTGGAGTTCGTTGCCTGAACTTCGTTCCCCCAGGTTCCAGAGGCAGCTCATTTGTACAAGACAAACATTGCCAAGTTCAATCAGGTTGCGGCTGAATGGACTCGCAAGTTTGCAATGTAGGAGGAATTGGATGAGGACGAGGACGGGGGGAGGAACGTGGGGGGAGGAGTTTGGAGGAAAGGGAACAGGAAGGGAAGTGACAGTGAGGCGTGGAGGAGGAAGGGAGGAGGAGGACGAGGAGGAGGAAAGTTATCGGCAGCTCCTGCCAGAGAACCTCTCAAGACGTTTTGGGATTTTGAAAGATGAGAGACGCCCGTGGATGAGGAGATGAGAAAAAAATGATCCAAGATTGCTTTTTGTCATCGCAATGAAATGCTTTAAACTGTCGGTGGTGCACCATGTTGAACAGGCAGTTGTGTCTGAAAGCTCACTTGTCTCTTGTATTGGGTATGACATGACAACAAGACAGACTCGAGTTGAGAACATCAAGACAAGTCAAAGGGATGGTCCTTCGTCTGAAGGATTGATAAGCCTGGCAATCCTTCGACATCATCACAATCATCGTCGTCGTCATCATCATCATCATCATCATCATCATCACAACTTCGACACTTGTTCCTTCTCGTCATATCTCTGCTATCTGATCACCACAGTCCCTTGATGAAAGACCCGACACCCCTGGCGACATTGTTGAGAACTTCCGGCGTCTCGAAGTCTTCGTCAGCTCCCTATCCCAATCGTCAGGGCACACCCACACACAGCAATTGGAGAATAGCGAATGTCATCATCATCACCACCACCATCCTTATCATCATCATCATCATCATCATCACCACCACCACCACCACCACCACCACCACCACCACCACCACCGCTACCACCACCACCACCACCACTACCACCACCACCACCACCACCACCACCGCTACCACCACCACCACCACCACCACCACCACCACTACCACCACCACCACCACCACCACCACCACCACCACCACCACCACCATCTCCATCATCTCCATCACTATCATCATCAACCAAACTCACTCTTTCTCTATGCTCTTCTTCTTCGAGCTTACTTCCTTCCACAGGCTCGGCTGCATTGAATTCAGAGCAAGAAGAGAAGCAGTGAGGGAAGCAGTGAGGGAAGAGAAGCAGTGAGGGAAGAAGCAGTGAGGGAAGAAGCAAGAGCAGAAGGAGCAGCAGTGGGAGCAGTAGCAGGAACTGAGGCGACAAGAAATAATTCCACCTGAATCAGCAGTTCCATCCTTCAAACTTTGCAGGTGAGACAAGTATTTTTCTCTGTCAAGCTTTATCTTCTCTTCTGCCACTTTCTTGAACTGAGTGAGTTTTCCCCGCGATCCCTCGAGCTCTTCGTCCTTCATCGCCACTTGCTGCTTCAGAGTCGCAATCATCAGCTCCAAGTCCTGCAGTCAAACAAACATGCACGTGAGAGGACGTGAAGGAGCAGAAGATGAGATGATCGAGTTCGCAACCACCTCTCTTTGAGATCCCCCTCCTGCTCCTTCTCCTCCTGCTCCTCCTCCCTTCATCTTGTCTAGCTCCTGTTTCGCGATCAGCTTCATGGCGGTATGAACAACTTGCACTCACTTGCTGTAGAGCCATGTTGGCCTCCTCTAGCTCATCCTTCCGCCTCTTCAAGTCTTCTTCTTGAGCCTGTTCGTTCGTCGTCATCAGCTCGAAGATCACTACTGGTACCATCACTTTCATCATCTCTATCAACGTCATCTCTATCACCACCACAACCACCACTACCTTCACGATCACCATCACAGTCACCACCACAAAGATCGCCACCACCACCATCATCAACAACAGTTTCATCGGCATTGTCATAATCTCCATGTTCATTATTGTCTTTAGACGGATGCATGCCAATCACCTTGTATTTCTCTACAACCTTCTTTGCATCCTGCATTACCTGCCAAGATTGATCACTGCTCCTCCTGCTCCTCCTGCTCCTCCTGCTCCTCCTGCTCCTGCTCCTGCTCCTGCTCCTGCTCCCACGCTCCTCCTCTCTGCCAACCTTCTTCAGCTTGGCCTCCAACTCCGCCACCCGTTCATCATCGCCCTCTCCAGCGCCGCCAGCAGGAGCAGCCGAGCTCTCCCTGCCCATCTGCTCCATCCCTTCTTCAGCTCCTGGATGATTTCTTCCTTGTTCCTCAGGTTCTCAGTGAAATTCTGAAGTGTCTCCATCACAGCTTGCTTCTCCTCCTGCGCTCGCATCTTCGCGCTCCGCTCACTTGCCAGCTGATCTTCCAGCTAGGACAAGGTTCAGACACCAACGCATCCCTCCTTCCTCCTCCCCTCCCCGCGTCCCTCCCCTCCCTTGCTCCTCGTCGCCTTACCTCCTTCACTCGCTCTCCTGATTCGGATCCTCCGCCTCTTCGTGCCTCCTGCAGCTCCTCCTCCACAAGCTGCAGGCTTGCTAGTCTCTCTCCCTGCTTAATGAGCTGATCCTCGTACCTGCCCATGGAGCAAACGATGAGTGCCAATACCGATATCTCCATCATCATCTCCATCACACCACCACCACCACCTCATCATCATCATCATCATCTCCATCATCATCTCCATCATCATCATCTCCATCATCATCATCATCTCCATCATCATCATCATCTCCATCATCATCATCTCCATCATCATCATCATCATCATCTCCATCATCATCATCATCTCCATCATCATCTCCATCATCATCATCATCTCCATCATCATCATCTCCATCATCATCATCATCATCATCTTACTTTTGAAGTTTCGCCTCCAAAGCAGACTTGTCGTTAGACAACGCCTCAAGCTAAAGTATGATCAAGTGAGTTTCTGGAAAACAACCCAGAGACTGGAAAAAGGAGCAGGAGCGAGAGTAGCAGGACCAGCAGCAGAAGAAGGAGCAGGAGGAGGGGCAGGGGCAGGGGCAGGGGCAGGGGCAGGGGCAGGGGCTGGAGCAGGAACTTCAACACCTTACTGACGGCCTCTTGCTGAGAACCTCTCGCAGCGTCCAGCTCCTCCTGCAGCTGTTTGATATTTCTGCGACACTCTTCGATGTCCGCCTGCAGCTGCTCGTTGCTCCCTCCCTGCTCCTCCGCCATCGCCAGTCTCTCCGTCATCTCCTCGACTTCAGCAGACAACTTGGCGGACAGCGCTTGCGCCTCCTCGTACTTCACTGCCAGCTCCTCGCACTTGACCGTGAGCTCCTTCTCCCGCGACTGCAACTCTTGCATAACCTCATCGGTGCCCCTGATCCTCTCTGCCTCCTCCTCCTCTGACTTCGCCAGCTGCTGCTTCTTCTCCAGCAGCTCAGCCTTGACCCCTTCCAGCTCAGCCCGGAGCTGCTGCGAAGTATCCTCCTCCTGCAGCTTCACAACCTCTGCCCTCAGCTCGGCGATCAAGCCCTCCTTCTCCTGTACAACCTTTCCATGCTCCTCGTCCTGTGCACACAGTTGGTCTATCTCGCCCTGCATCTTCTGCATCTTGGTAGAGACCTGGTCCTTCATCTCGCTCACGGCACAACAGACCCGCTCCAGCGCCCCATCGCACAGCTCCGCTAGCTGCTCACAGCTCAACAGCTGAGCAGCAAGGTGTTCTGCCTCCTCCTGCTGCTGCTGTTGCTGGCCCGTTGATCCCTGCTCGAGCTCCTCCTTCATCGACTGCAGCTCGCTGGTGAGATTGTTGATCTTCTCCCTGCTTTCCTCCAGCTTCGACTTCAGCTGCGCCTCCTTGACCTGGGTTGTCTCCTCCCTGCAGTGCAGCTCGGCTTCAAGCTCTGAAATCCTCTCCTCGCACGTGGATAACTTGCTTGCCATCTGCTGCTTGTCCTCCTCGATCTGGTCGTTCGCTGCCTGAAGCTCATCTCTCGCTCCCTCCAGCTCCATCACCTTCTCCTCCAGCTCCGCCATGACCTTGTTCTGCTCCTTCAGCTTCTCCTCTTCCTCCTCGAGCCGCGTCCTCAACTCTTGGCTCCCCTGAGCTTCATTCCTCATGCGCGCGAGGCTTTCTTCAGCCTCCATCAGCTTCCTCTGGTACTCCTTGCAGTGAACGTCCAGCTCTTGGATCGCGAGCTGGTAGCTTGCGATGGACTCAGCAGGCTCGTCATGCCTCTCCATCCTTCCTCCTTCCTCCTCCTCTTCCTCACGAGAAGGTCCTTGCGAGGCTTGTAGCGCTTCCTGCAGCCGGTTGACCTCCCCCCTGAGTGCTCCCACCTCTTCTTCGCTTCTTGCAACCTGCTGCTTCCATTCCTCACACTCCACCTGCAAGGCCGAGAGCTTCTCCATCTCGGCTTCAGCTTCCCTTGCCTGCTCCTTCATCCTTTCCAGCTCAGCCTCCAGCTGTCGGATGCGTTCCTCCCTCCTAGCGAGGATGTCCTCGAGATCAGCTTGTACCTCTTTCATCTTGTCTATCTCATCCACACTGTCCTTCTCCTCCTCGTCCTTCGCGCTCGCTTCGCTCAACATCTGCTCCTTCGCCTCCAGATTCTCCAGCAACTGCAACCGCTCCTCTTCCTGCCTCGCCAACTGCTCCCTGAGATCCTCAACCTGCTTCCTAGCTTCTTCCACTTCTCTTTCCCTGCTGCTCAGATTCTCCTTCAGCTCCTCCATCTGCTCGAGGCATTCCTGATGAGCATCCTCTGCCTTGCTGCTCTCCTGCTCATCGGGACAACCTCCAGCAGCCTCCAGCTCTGACCTCAGCTGCGCAATGACACTCTCCTTCTCCCCCAGACAGTCTCGGAGCGCTCTCAGCTCTTCCTCCATCCTTGCAATCTCCTCCTCCTCCCAAGCCTTTCCTCTAACAGCCTCCAGGAGTTCTTCTTTCTCCCTCTCCAACGCTTTGACCATACTCTGAGCGTTGCAGAGAGCTTCCCAATTCACCTGCGGTCCTCTCATCAGCAACGAGGCGTTTACAGCACAGCAGCAGCAACCTCAAATGACTCCTTGGCCTTCTGCGCTTCGAGCTGGGTATGCAGCAGCTGCTCCCGCAGCTCCTCGATCCCAGCAGCTTCCCGTCCTCCCTCCGTCGTCTTGGAGAATTGCGCGTCGGAGGAGCCTGAGGACACCATGACAGTCTCTTGTGAGGCCCTCAAGTCTCCTTCGGTGCTTTCAATCAAATTTGATCCCATTTCACCTGATGAGTCTTCTTCGTCTCCCCAGCCATCTTCGCCCCATCCATCCTCCTCCTCGTGGCCCATGTCCTTCCTCCCCACCATCTTCTCAATCTTCTCCATGTCCGCTTTCTTGCTCTCCTCCTCCTTCTGGTCCTTCTCCTCCTTTTCGTCACTCCTGCTCTCAGCCTGCAAGGAAGCACGTCAGCTGCCTGCAAGCATGGAATGCGGCATCATACGGTTTGAGAGGTCTGGCTGTGTAGCAACTGCTCCTTCAATTCATCGCAAGTCTGTCGCACCGCCTCAAGCTCTGCACAAGATGCTGTGTCAGTGCGAGCAAACGAACACACTGTGCACACCATTCTTGAGGCGTTCAGCCTCCTGCATGTGCTCTTGCGCAACAGACTGGTGTTGCTCCAGTTGTTGGTGGAGATGGGACTTCTCTTCTCTCTCGGATTCGATCTGGACATCTTTTTCACGTGATTCTTCTTGAAGCTCACTGACGCGATCGTTCAGAACTTCCATTGCAGCTTTCGTCTCTTCATTCTCCTTCTCGAGCAACTCGATTTGCTCGAGGGACGACGCAAGGTCTGACCTCAGCTGCTCCACTTTCAGCTGCAGCTCCTCGATATCTCCACTCTGCCCTTGAGCTTCGGCAGCTGCCGTCGACAAGTCATCCTTCTCTTGCTGCAGCTCGCCAATCCTCCCCTCGAGCGCCAAGATCATCGCATCTTTGCTCTCGATGATGCTATTCATCTCCTCTTCCACCTCCGCCAGGTGCTGTTGTTGTCGTTCGGTTTCTGCTTTGAATCTTTCAAGCGCAGATTCGTGCAGGTCTTTCATAGACGAAAGTTCATCCAGGGCCTCTTGCAGGGAAGACTGCTTCTCAGCCAGCAAGGTGTTCAACTCCTGCAAATTGTTCTCCTGTTCCTCATTCACAGCAATCGCCTTCTCGCGATCTAGCCTCAGCTGTTCGAGCTCGCTTTTCAGCTGCTCGTTTCTTCGACAAGAGTTTGGAGCCTCTCTTCCAGCACAGATTCGTGTTTGTCTTCTTCCGACTTTTCGGCACTCAACGATGCCAGCTGCTCTTTCAGGGATTGAATCTCTTCCTCTCTGGCTGCGAGTGCCCCTTGTATGTTTTCAAGAGCCTCCCTGACCTCAGCCAGCTCCTCATCACGTTGCGATATTGCTGTCTTAGCTTTCTGAGACATGCTCATGAACTTCTCTTTCGCTGTCTCAATGATTCTGTCTCGCTCCTCAACAGCCTCGGCAAGTTCAGCGATCTCGTTCTCTTTCTCAGGCAACTTCGATTGAATTTCTGCAAGAGCTTCACTGAGCTTAACGATCTGATCTTGTAGCTGTTGGTTTGCAATCTCCATCGACTGGATCCGCTCTTGCTTGCTATCCAGCTCCGATTGCAACCCCTCTTGCTGCTCTATCAACTCTACGTTCATCTTCTTGAGGGCTTCAATCTCCTTGACCACAAGATCAGAATTGTGTTTGGAGCTTGCTTCTTTCTCTTGAAGCTGAGAGGAAAGCAGCTCTTCTCTCTTCGTAGCATCCGCAAGCTTTTCATGGCAAGCCTTCACCTCCTCCTGGAGTTGAGACGCCTTATGTTGAAGCGCTAGAAGCTCACTGTTGTCGGCGGGAATGCTAGGAGAAGCGTTCTCCTGCAGCTCTTTCATCTTCGCTTCTTGAGCAGAAAATTTTGCCTTGAACTTGTTGTTCAGCGCTACCATCATCCGTTTAGCCTTAGCAAGCTGATCATCCTTGTTCTTGATCTCAACCTGGGCCGCGTCGAGTTGGGTCTGAAGCTCCTCCATCTTGCTTTCCGCAGCAATGCTCCAGCGATTACGGTGCTCTCAACACAAACGCAATAACTGAAGAGATCGAGATTGGAAAACAACTCAAACCTGATACTCAAACTATTAGGCACTCATTCAGAAATATTCAAACAACAATTTCGTACTCGTTTTTTCACTTCACATCAACGAGAACAAAGAGCCATACTTCAGGAAAAGCAGGAGTTCTACTCAGCATAGAAGATGATATAAAAGAAACTCACAAATCTCCTCAAAATTCCAGACAACATGACTGTATCACTTTCAATTGCAACTACAAGCACAAACTCATGCGGAGTATGTACAACAACATCGCGTCGATCAGAGGCATGGAGGCAACAACATCATCCTCTTCCGCGTCATTGCTACACATCTCTGCAGGTCTCCTCTGCCATCCCAGAAGCAGCTGATGCTGTTTCTCCTCCTCCTCCTCCTCCTCCGTCGCCTCCCTGCCTCACCTCCATTGCCAGCAGCCTACGTGGAAAACGTTTACTCAACTGTGAGTTTAACCAGCGGGCCGGGCCCGGGCCCGGCCCGGCCGATGAGATTGAATATGAGGGAGATGAGTTCTGAGCTGCCTCTTCGCAATGGCGTGTGGAGAGAGGGATCCTGCTTCTCCCCTCCTCTCCTCCTCCTCCTCCTCCTCCTCTTCCTCCTCCTCCTCCTCCTCTAGGTTGAGGATTCTTCTTGGTGCTGGCTGTCTGCTTGTCCTCGTCGTCTCTTCCTCCCTCCTCCACTCGCCACGCGCTTCGGAGAAGTTGCAGCTCGTGATGGCTCGGCCGTTTCCTCGCGCTCAGCGGATGCTGAGGATGAGGATGCAGAAGCTGGGGCAAGGGAGCATGTTCCTGAATCATCCAGGATACTTCTCTGTAGGCTCCAAAGGTGGACAGAACGATGGTTTGACCTACTTGCCTCCGCAAGCCACCCCTGACTGGGCTAAGGGGCGGGCATGGAACATTGATGCAGGTACTGGTCTTGTCGTCAGGATGTGATTACAAATATGATGTTTGTTTTCCAACAGAACTCCAGGGAGACTGTGTCTGTGAGCAGCCATACGATCAAGTCACCAGGGTTGTGAACAAGGAAATTGTCTGTCATTGTCCGAGAAATTTCGTGCCGAACCCGCCGCAGTTTCCAGGCAATCCCCCGAACCCTACGAGCATGAAGTACGAGGATGGATGCGAGTGTGTTGTAGCAGACACTGATGATCACACAATCTGCACCTGCCCCCTCGATGAGGTTTGTTCGCCCTTGATCGTGTTAAGGTTCTGACGTGACAGCAGCTGGACATGGAGGATTATGATATGCATGCTCCTCCCAAGGAAGCAGAAGAGGCTGCAAGTGAACCATAGGCCTTCAAGGTGAGCCCTGTCAGCTAATTGCTTGCTGAGAAAATGCACTATTTCTTGTTTGCATGACTGTTCGTGTTACGAAGCCGGGGGTTGGGGTTGTGATTTTTGTTTTCAGATGATGAATCAAATGAGCTCATTGAAATTCTACTTCAAAAAACATGTAAATAAGGCATCTGGAGGAGAAAATTTAGATTTATTGAATAGAAAATCAAGCAAGCAAGCAATATTGTAGCTAGTTGATTAGGTTCCTGTTACTTGGGTGGTGTCAACAATCGATCAATTGCTTGCACTCACAATTACCTATTGAAGTAGAAGTCTCGTCCAGGAAAATTTTAAATTACATGCTGCTTCGTTGTTTCCTACAAATTCGTGAGAGGATTTCGAATGTGCGAGGAGATTACTTTTGAAGATTTCGCCACTTATCTTTCAGGTCCACAGCTGAGCGAGAAGGATGGAAGTCGAAGTTTGACAAGATCATTGTCCATTTGCTCGGCCCATACCTGAACACGGACGATCAGTGCTGGGAGGATCGTTGACACCAGTCAGACCTTTCAATCCCTTTCCGCAAGGTCTCCTCCTCCTCAGCCGTCCATCTGATATAACCCTTACCAGCCGCATCAGCTTTCCGCTTCTGAGGGGTGGAGTCTTGATTCGTGAAGTCTTTAGGTCGGTAGTCGTTCTTGGGAGTGGCTAACTTGATGGCTTCGTCGCTCTCGTCATCTGTGTCCCACTGTTCCGCCACAAGTGTCAACCATACGAGAAAGCAACTTTGGTCTTGGCTCACTTGCAAACTCTTGCCTTCATCGGGCGGGTCGAGAAGATTTTTTCGTTTTGACTTTGCTGGGGATTTTCTAGTCGTGGTCGAATTGCTCTGCTGCAAAACTTCTTCTAAGGGATCCTTCCCTTTGCTCAAAAGATCGCTTGCAACCAAATCAGAACGTCGCATTCAGGTTTGACATCTCACCTTCTCTTCTCTCGCAAAGTTTTGATAAGTACCGCATCCTCAGCGGACACATCTTGTGCTGCTTTTTTTGGCGTGGTACGACTGCTCTTACGAGGATTTGCATTCTCCTTGCCACCAGACGGAGCATTTTCTTCCTCTGATTCCTCTTCTTGCCGTTTTCGATGCTTCCTGGCAGCCCTAGATTTGGGCTGCACGAATTCTACTTCATCATCACTTGGCACTTTTTCTGCTGCTTTGGAGCGTTTTGACGCAGCGGCAGATTCGGTATTCCTGGTAAATCGAGTCAAAGCCAAACAGGTAGAAAATGCATCGTCCACTTTGCTTTTGCTGCTTTTTCAGGAGCAGATTCATCTTCTGCTGGATGTTGGACTTCTTCAGATGCCTGCTGCTTGGTTGGCTTTCCCTTGCGGCCGGAGAGTTCTTTCAGAACTTCTACGACGTCAGGATGGACTTGCTGTTCGAAAGAAAGAAACGAAATCAAGGAGAATCAAAGAACAAACAGACAGCACCTGATGTATTTCAGTCCAGTCCCCCTCGTCGTCTCGTCCACAAGCTAATCTGAGGGCATCACGAAGGTCCCATGCAGACATGTCAAAATATGCACGTGAGGCGTCCTTGTCCTCGTTCGCATTGTCCTCTTCAGCCTCAGCATTCACAGCCACTTGAGTTTGCTTCTCACTGGGAATTTCTTCAATTTCCGCAACTTTTGAGTTTTCGTCTTTCTTGTTGATGGCCCGCGTACGGCGTGATGTCTTGGATTCTTCTTGGACAGGCACTGGAGCACTTTCAGGGTCACCTGCCTCCTCTTGATCCTTTTCGTCAACTACAATTTGTTTTGGGTCGGATTGTTTGCTGAAACTTGGTGCATATTTTCCGGAGCTGATATCTCTGGCAATGATCTCAAGCATTGTTGGTTTCTGGGTGCTGGCGAGATGTGTCCAAAATTCCTTCATGACAGCATCCAAATTCTCCACGGGATATTTCGCTGGAAAAGATCAAGTAAGCTAGATTCAATAAGGTGGTATTGTTACGCACCAAATAGTTTTGGTAGATCTTTCTTTGAAATAGAAAGACTGTCACTGCGAAAAGCATTCACTTCTTTGAAGTTTTCATCTTGTTTGTTTTTGGTTTGCCAAGGAAACAACATTTGCACGTTCTGACGAAACTGTTCCAAATCCATGCTGTCGCTCTTCAGCTCTTTCAATGCTGCCTGAATCTTGAGCTCATTGAAGGCTCGCCAGAACACGGATCCAGGGGATTTCTCCAGATCATCGTCAGTGCATACAAAATCAAATTCTCGGAGGGCCAGGTTGAACTGAGAAAGAAAACTTACAATAAGCACGGTATGAGCAAAGAAATCACCTCCCGAGCTTCGATCCATCGTCGCAGCTGGCCAATGGGATCTGCTTTCTCAGCTAGTTTCTCGTGTGTGATGTGGTACTTCCGTGACATGCTTTGAATGAGACCTGAGCCAATCTGTCACGGGAGAAGCCACAAGAACAGGCTGATTACCTTGCAAGGCTTCATCCAGCCCGTAGCGAGAGCAATGCTCGTACATCCAAGCGCTGATGACCTGCATGCGCTCCTCCTCAAGGGCAACATGCTCGTTCACGGGTGGGGCAGAGCTCCCACTTGCCTTGACGGCCTTGCCTTGTTTTTGCGTCGGCATGACAGGCGAATATGAAAGATGCCTTTGCTGAAGATCTGCGGAGTGTTCAGCAATGTTGTTTTATAATCTTGCTGATGTTCAATGTTTTACACTGGAATAATGCTATGGCCTGGGTCAGGCGCTTGGTATGCGTCAACAGTGAACAAGCTTTTGACGCATATCTTGACACATCCAATCCAATATTGTGGTCATAATGTTCTTGCTCTAGGGCTATTCTTGTGTACGTTCAAGCAAAGGTGAAATGCTTTCTTCATACTTCAGTGCAGCACTTTCATATTAATGATCCACTTCATCCCTAAACAAATTCTTCATATGATGTGATCTTCCTCGAGCATTTCTCACAAAATATTCTCACTTTCACCATCACCATCTTCTTTCATGTTGTTGCAACTCATCTTTCATTTCTCACGTTTAGTCTCATCCTCCTCTGCGCATCTCAACCCCAACGCTTTGAAAATCTGCATGGAAGGCGCGGGAAACAAACCATGACCCCCACCCTTATTAGTTTTCTTCTTGACCCCTACCCTCATATTTACTATTATACACCCCCCCTTTCGTCCCGCCAATAAGCAATATTCAGAACCTGTACCCCCTCTGAATTCTTCAACCCTACCCACTGGTCACAGTGGGGTGGTATTCGAATGTGAGAAACCGTTATACACGGTTACAAGACGTTATCCGGGTGGTTAGTATGACGCCAGCAATGCAGAAAACGAGAGCGGGGAGTGGGAAAGGTGAAGACAGGCAGGCAGGCAGGCAGGCAGGCAGGCAGGTAGACAGACAGACAGACAGATAGTCAGATAAGCATGCAGGAGGAGAGGAGGGAGGGAGGGAGGAGAAAGAGGAACAAAGAGAGAAGGAAGCAGAATCAAGAGAGAGGAGGGATGGGGCGAGGAAGAGAGTACCAGCCTGCGAGACAGTCAACCAAGTACAGGGCATCCCCTAAGTCAAGGGAGTGGCGTTAGCATCTAGGTCTTATATAGTCAGCATGGTGTTTGTGAGCGCGAGTTAGTAGTAGACGCTCGATGTAGCCGTCAGATCTACTTGAAGATTACGGTCGTCATTGATACAAGAAGTAACACTGATTGTCATTGATTCCCTTCTTGCTTCAGGTCGATGCTCCCAGTAGTCGAGCCAACAGCCCAAGCGCAGCCAGCGGCCTCCACTCCATTGAAGTCGCAAGAGCATGCAGGACGCGTGGTGAGTACTCGCCCACCATTCTGGCCCCCTCTCAAAGCATGGAGCAGGCGCCCGAACCGCCCAAGGAGATTCTTGGAAACACAGTTGACGAGCATTGGAGGAACACATGCGGTGACGAACTTACAGCTCCCTGCTTCGTCCTCCTGAACTTAGAGCAGGAGCCGTCCCTACGAGGTCCAGCCTGACCAAGGGAGGCCTGCCCTTTGGCTTTATCGTCTCCCCCTTTGCTGCCCCCGACGACAGCAATCGGTGGCTTCGCAAGGCAGCTGAACGTTGCCAGTCGTGCGGGGCAGTCAGGAACCTCTACATCGCTGTGGAGTCCAACACGGGTCGATGGGCATGCAACTTCTGCGGGGCGATCAACAAGTCGGAGGATCTGTGAGCTTCTGCGTGCTGCTGCGTTGTGATGACTCACCTTGCCGAGCAGGAAGGGAAGAGACGCGATCGAGTCTTGCCGGGAGCTCAGAGACGCCGTGATTGAGTACGTGGAGCCAACCGTTGGCTCGATCTCCACGCAGGTCAAGAGGAAAGTCACCATGCTCGTGATCGATACTGCAATGCGGCAAAAGGACCTCGACGAGCTGCAGGACTCGCTGCTGAAAGCTTTGAGCGTGCTGGACAAGAACGAGGAGATCGGCTTTATCACCTTCGATGCCGTCGTCAAGGTGTACGACCTGTCGAAGCAAGAGTGCGCAACAGCATTCATCCTTCCTGGGACCCGCTCCCCCTCCCAGTATGACCTCAACATGTTGGGGAACACTGGGGCTGTCTTTGCTGCTCCCCTGCATGCTTGTTTCAACACCATCTCTTCGATCATCAGGTCCTTGAAGACTCCTGTACGCGACGGCAAGAGGGTCAGAGCTCGTTCTCGCTGTGTTGGCCCTGCCGTCGAAGCTGCCGTCGCCATTGTTGCCTCCTTGCATGGAAACTCCTTCCATGCCAACGCCGACGATGGCATCTCTCCTCAAGGAGGGAAGGGACACGTCTCGCTTGTGCTAGGAGGCCCTCCGACCATCGGCCCTGGCAGCGAAGACTTTGAGGTGGAGGCAAGCACGGAGGCAGCAGGGATGAGCCCGAGCGAGCAGCAGGCGACGGAGTACTTTGGAAAGGTCGGGCACAGGACGAGGCTGCTGGGGATCTCTACCGACGTTCTGGTTGTGTCCATGCTGAGCATCGGGGTGCAGAAGCTGCAGGCAATGACGATGACGTGCGGGGGAGAAGTTGTGAACCACCTCCACTTCGGGGAAGCGTTCGAGAGTGACCTCGTGAACGGGATGTACAGGACGGGAGGGCGGACATCAGGAGTTGTTGACATCCATGCGAGCGCTTGTGTGGAGGTGCTGAGGATCATCGGGCCCCTCATCGACCCTGCGACCAGACAGGAGGAGGAGATGGCTGAAGACTTGCCCAACCTCGCCATCAGCCCGAGCGTGGAGGGCAGGAGCTCTTACACCGTCATCTACTCGCTCAAGGAGGACGTTCACGACCAGTACATCTACTTCCAAGTCGTCACTGCCCACTCAACCCACAACGATGAGAGAGTCTTGCGGACGAGCACCATGAGGATCCCAGTCACCGACAACACCGCCAACCTCCTCCATGCCGTCGACGTCGCCGCCTCTGCTGTTGTGCTCGCCAAGGAGGCCGTGGCTGAGGTCAAGGACGGTTCCTCCTCTCTCGAGGATGTCAAGGCTCAACTGAATCAGAGGGTCCAGACCATCGCTCAGACTTGGAGCGACCAGGTGAAGGTCACAATAGGAGGCAGAATGTCCACGTTCCCCGCTCAGCTCCAGGGCCTTCCTAAGTACCTCTTCTTCGCGCAGAACGGCCCTCTCCTCGGATCCATTCTCAACAGTGAGGATGATGCGGTTAGAGCATTTCTTGCCCGGCTACCTCCTCCCTCCCTCCCTCCCTCCCTCCCTCCCTCCCTCCCTCCCTGCATACATACATACATACATATCTCCCCTCTTCTCCTCTCTTTCCTCTCTCTGTTCTCACTCACTACAGCGCTATATATCTCTCCCCACCTTCCCTCCCGACTTTTTCTCCCTCCTCCTTCAGCTCGTCACTGACTGGGAGCCTGCTATCAGAACGTGTTGAGAAGAATCTTCTTGAAGTCGAACCTCGAGGACGTGAGTCTTTTCTTTCACAACTCAACATGCTGATAGCTCCCTCAGTCTCTCCGCATCCTCTCCCCCCAGCTCTTCTCGTGCACCCTCAACGAGCAGGTTATCTTGCTGCGACGGTGCTCAAGAGATGAAGTGACGAGGTGGTAGAATGTCTTGCAGTTCGAGGAATTGCCGGTTGAGGACACCTCGCTTCTGCCTGACCGGGTAAAATATAGATGGATATCCTCCTCCTCCTCCTCCTCCTCCTCCTCCTCCTCCTCCTAACCTCTCAAGATTCCGTCTTCTTGTTTTCCTTCTTCCTCATCAACAACATCATCCTATCCTCTTTGTCTCATTCCCTCTCTCCCGCATGGCCTGTCTCTACCCGCTATTGTATCTACCTTGCTTACAGCCTGTACAGATTGTCTTTATGGATCATCACACTCAAGTGTTTGTATGGAGTGGATCTCAGGTGCCTGACTTTCGCTCTTTGTTTTACTCGATTTTCTCACTGGTCGTCAGGTGTCTGGTGTTGAGTTCGAGCCTGTGAGACAGACGTTGCTGTCAAACATCAAGGTTGAGATGAATATGATTTTATCTCCACTACCAACCTCCTTCTCCTCCTCCTC